TCCCACCAAGATCTACCCGTGTCACTCGTGCGAGCCAGGAGGTGAGGCTGAGGAGCCTAACGCCGAGGGAGGCCCGGAAGGAAAAGACAAGAAATCGGGCCTTCTCAGTGGTGGCTCCTCGCCTCTGGAATAACCTTCCTCCTGAGATTCGTGTGGCTCCCTTGCTGGGTATCTTTAAAAATCAGCTAAAAACATGGATGTTTCGCCAGGTCTTCCCCCCCAGTTAATTCCTGATGTCCCTCTTTTTCCTCCCCCCATTGTTTGCCCCTATTTTGTCGACATGTTTTTATTATGTAAAAACCATTTTATATATTATTTTCATTGTGTATTTCTATGTTGTAAGCCGCCTAGCGTGGTCTTAACCGACTAGATAGGCGGGATATAAATAAAATAAATAAATAATAATGAAAGTTGCTTTGAGCCTGTTTTAATTCATTCAATGGCTCATCCTGTCACTGTGCTACCTTGAGATCTGCCATTCTTTTTGTTAAATTTTGTTATGCTCCGAGCTTGAAATGCTGAGAAATGGGGACAAGGAATTTTGAAGATGTAAAGAAAGAAAAAGTGTAGCTTTCATATCACTATAAAAAGAATACAGTTCTAATTTCTTGCTATTAAAAAAAATGCATACAGTACTCACCAGAATTCCTATTAACATGTTAGGGTGAGTATTAGATATCCACTCTCTAGCATCTCTCTGCCCTTTCACCAATTTGCTCTATTTCATAATACAACAGTGCTTCGATTTACGACCATAATCCGTTCCAGAAAATGGGCGTAACTTGAAATGGTCGTAAGTCAAAACACCGTTTCCCATTGAAATGTATTGGAACGCTGCAAAAACACCCAGAGCAGTTTTTAAAAAGCAGAAAGCAGCACCTTACCTTACCAGGCAGCCTCCTCCAATCACATACACTCTAACTGCTGGGGTGAAAGAGCTACAAAGAAGCAGCCTCTTCGCCACCAACAGTTAGCAATTTGAATTTCCCGCCTTTTCCCCTTGCTTTTTTGTGTTTGTAACTGGAAGCTCCGGCCACAAGTCGAAGCAAAATTTTGCAGCTGGAGCTGGTCGTAACTCGAAATGGTCATATGTCGGGACATTAAGTCGCTGTATATAAAACTGTTCCTTTGTTACATGCAGACACTACAGTAAAAAAATGTGAACACGTATCAATGCATTAAAATTACTTCAGTGGTTTTAAAAAAAATACAGTGTAACCAAGCTGGCTTTCTTCATTGTACATGTCTTTTATATCTTTGTCACAAAATGTGCCTAGATTTCTTGCAACCTAGGTAGTAAAGAAAGTTGGGAACAGTCCTTGGTATGGAAGGTCATATAAGCATAAATGTATCCATTTAAATTCATATTATAGTTTATAGGCCAAATTTGTGCTGCTCAACATAGCAAATCCCATTACAGTAGGCCCATTGAATCAATGAGATGAGTCAATTCCTTCATATGTTGTATTGATTCAAATGGCCCCACTCTAGTTACATAGTAAGTTGCAGTTACAGTTGTCCAATTTGAACAAATGAAACATATGAAGGAGCTGACTTAGTAAATCTCAAGTGATTCAGTGGACCTACAATAGCATGGCTTCTATGCTGACCAATAGGATTTTGGCTGTGGTTTCATTTTATAGATTATTTTCCTGAATATTACATCCCAAACAGTGAACAGTAGTAGTAGTAGCAGCAGCAATAAAAATAATTATTAAAATTGTCTGTGTTTCATGCCATAAAGCCGGAACTGACTGATAGCAACCCTAGTAGGGCTTTCAAGGTAAGTAAGATATTTAAGAGTGGTTTTACCAGTTCTGTTCCCCCAGTGAGTTTCCATGGCCAAGTTGGGGATTCAAACAGTGTTCTCCAGAGTCCTAGTCCATCACTCTTGTCTACTACACCACAGTGGGAATCCTAGTGGCTGGATAGCTCAATGGTTTTGGTATCTGACTGAGGAACCAGAGGTTGGGAGTTCAATTCCTCCATGTGCCTCTTGGAGGAAATCAGTGGAGTCATGGCAAGCTGCACAGTCCCAGGATGCCCCCAGAAGAAGAGAATGATAAATCACTTCTGTGTATTCTCTACCTAGAGAACCCAGGAAAGGGTTGCCATACGCTGGGATTTACTTGATGGCATGGAAATACTTATTAAAAGAAGGTAACAGTAAAAAAAGGGAAAGAAAAACCGGTCAGATAGTCAACACCAACAGAACAGATGGCCAGAATCCTATTGCTTATATGCATTGGTGTGAATTGCAGTGGCAATTGCTAAATTGAATTGTTGGCATATGAAGAGCAATACAAGTAGCAACTCATTAGCTACTTCACAGATGTGATTTACCTCATTGATGTATTATCACTTTAAATAACCAGTAAAATTCTGGAGAGTAAGACAAGCTATGAATTTAAGAATCAAATCCGTTTGATGGGCCAAAACCTTACCTATTTTCTAAAAGACATTTTCACTTGGAAAAAAAATTGAGAAGAATCTCCACATCACTAGTGGCAGGGTGCAGGTGATGTCACGTTTGTCTTTCTTCATTGCTTGTAATACACACTCTGATATTTGTAAGTGACTGTAGGTGCCATAACTGTCAGTTGGTAAAGTGGAAATAACTAAACTAAATCATTTTCCTATTCTACAAAATTTAGGAAATCCAAATCAAATGTTAAATTATTTGGATTATACTCAAATGGGTATAAGAGTGGTCGACCAGACCAGATGGGCGGGATATAAATCAAATCAATCAATCAATAAATATAAATAAATAAGTAAAACTTCAAATTATTTGTTCAATCTTTTTTCATGCTCTTTCTTTTTTAGAATGTAACACTGCCTGAGATGCCAGCTGTTCTTGTCTTTAAAGATGGAACTTACTTTGTATATGATGGTAAGTTGAATGGCATAGTGATTTGAGACATGTGTCATGTATGTGTACAGGTTTTGTTTTTAACGTTAAGTATTATAGTCTTAATCTTGGTTAAATCATTTAGACATTATTTTATTATTCAAAACTAGTAAAATATAGCTTCGCTGTCATTTTGGGATTAGAGATTTAAAAGTGATGCCGAACTTTGATCAGCACACAAAAGAATACAAGCCTCATAACTATGTGAATTGTGTTTCAAATGAGGTTGTTCACTAGTGTGTTACTTATAACAAGTGTTCTGAAAATGTTGGTTGTGTGCACTCCTTTTCTAGTGTATATTCTGATTTTGAGAGACTCCTGTAAACGAGATGTATCCTTTAAACTGTAATTGATTATGGTATGTGAACAATAGTTGCAATGAGAGTACAATAAACTTTTGCAATTTTTATTTGTTATCTTTGATCCTGCTTGACCTGTTGTTTGCCTGGCATGCAACCTTTCTTTTTCTAGATTGTATGTGATGGTGGTACTAGGTGGCATAATTTGATAGGAAAAGCAGATTAACTCCCCTCCCCTGGGGACATGTTTTTCTTTTTCAAAGAATATGAAGATGGTGATTTATCATCCTGGATAAACAGAGAAAGGTTTCAGGGATATCTTCATGTAGATGGATTTACACTGTATGAACTTGGTGACACAGGTAATATGTTTCCAAAATTCAGCAAAAAATTAGAGTATCTTTATTTTGTTTTGCTTTTAATCTGTGTTTAGGATCCTTCAAAGATATATGTAAACATATGTTCTCCATCCATACACCCTTATTTCTTTCTTTCTTTCTTTCTTTCTTTCTTTCTTTCTTTCTTTCTTTCTTTCTTTCTTTCTTTCTTTCTTTGTTTGTTTGTTTGTTTATTTATTTATTTATTTATTTATTTATTTATTTATTTATTTATTTATTGAACTTGTATGCCGCCCATTTAGATATAGTCTACTCTGGGCGGCTCACAAACACGTAATAAAAAACAATCAATATAAAATATAATAATGTGAAGTATTCACATTATTGTTCAGTATTAGGAACTAATCAGCACACTGCAAAATTGAGGTAGAAATTCAGCATGCTAGGCTGAAATATATATATTTAACATGTGTGCTATGTTTTGGTGGAAAGCAAAATTCAGTTAAATAATCCCCTGCATGTATTCTGAAATAATACTCTCCTGAAACAGTAGTAGTTCTCATTTTTTACTGAAAATTGATTCATTTGAAACATAGAGTTAGAAGATATTCACAAATATCGTACACTGCTAGAAGGCCAAATAAGTTGGCACTGAAAATGTTTAGGGCTAGAAATAAATAGGATTTGATTTGATTTGATTAACAGCTGTTTAATTTGAAGAGTTAAATTGATGCTTATTAAACTATTAAAGGTACTGCTACTTCGGGAATAGGAAGATTTTTTAAATAATTTTCACTGTAGACTTACCTAAATTTGGTTCTGTATCTTGTCTTATTTTAGGGAAACTTGTGGTTATTGCAATTATTGACGATAGAAACGTTTCGGTTGAACATACAAGGTAGGCTGATGGCCAGTTTTGCATAATAAAACATGACACAGTTCTTTACAACTTATTCTACTGAAACTTAACACTATATGAAATTTATCCCACTCTGATTTATCTCTTTCTGACCTTGAAGATCTTCAAATACTGATTAGAAAAGATGACACAGGTAGAAAACAAATAATCAACTTCTTCATATGTTATGCAGTAATGATATAAAGATTTTGATCCTAAGCACACTTATAGGCTACAAGTCTAAGGAGTGGAACTTTTGTCTACTGTACTGAAAAATCACAAAAGGTAGAGTCAGAGCATGATAATTAGTTTCTATATCGTTTGATACAGGAAATGTATAGCTACTGCAGAATAAAAGAATATAGTGCATAATAGTTATACTGTTGATAAATGTGTTATTGCTAAATATGTATAAATATGCAAACCAGAGGCTCATGCTTTGCCTGATAAGCCATGATACACACACTTAGAAATACTACTGCTGGAAGAATGTGATTTTTTTAAATTTTGCCTTCTTCCTAGATTGTTAATAGCTTTGTAATTTTTTTAAAATGTCACAGCTAAAATATGCTCCTAATTTTTAAATTATTTATTTTATTTTATTTTATTTTATTTGTTCGATTTATATCCCGCCCATCTGGTATATTCTACCACTCTGGGCGGCTTATTGAATATCAAAACAATTTAAAAACATAAAAACATTAGCATACAACAATAACAAATAGTGCAGGAATAAATAAATAATAAATACCAAAGAAAAAGAAATCAGTAGTTGACAGGAGGGAAGGCCTGGATGTACATCCATGTTTTCAGCTGGCATTTGAAAGTACCCAG